AAGAATAAACAATAGTAACTGTTCATTTTTCTATTCTTTTCTCTACCTTTTTTTCTTTGAAGATTGGGAGAGATGGTGTTGAATGTTCTGCTTTGCCCATGGTACATTCAAAATTTGTAGCAACAGCCAAGTGTCTATGTAATGTAGACAGCTGGCTACATCAGGAGCGAGGGTGCTGTTAGAAAAAGGGAGAGCTGACTAATTGTAAGTGACATTGAAACCCTTGGAACTAGATGGGATCACTAACCAGTGATGGTCGGGAGAGGGAAGAGACCCAAATACCAAGACCAGGGCCACTGAAATGTGGACTATGGAGAGGGAGGAGTGCCACTTGTGTATCTGGAGGCAGAGCAGCTTCATGTACGAAATGCCCCTTGACCCAGGACTGAATATGAACAGACTTTTCACAGTGATGCTGGCTGGAAAAATCTGAGGCAGCAAGGAGCTGCATGAGCAAAATCGCATGGGCAGAAAAGTGTGAAATATGCTCGATAAATTATTTAACCACAGCTAAATTTGAGTACTTATTCTCTGAACAAACCCTATACATTTCTCACCAACATTCCTTTGTTGGGCATTATGCATGACAATTGGCGTTATTTTTTATTCTCATGTTTTACTCTTTTTCCATCGCAGGTGTTATGGTGCAGTAGATTAAGGCCTAGAAACTGCTATTTCATCACAGTGGACACAAGCTATATATTACCACTGACTTTTCACTTTCTAGAGAAGTTCTTTGCTTAGTTACAAAGTACCAGATGGCCATGAGACACCAATTATAATTCAAGAACAAATATATCTATAGAATGAAACTTGATATAAATTCATCAGGAAGCCTTATATTAGTAAAGAGGAATTTCCACAATTTTCTGTTTATATAATATAATAAGCACAGATTTTTTTTGTCCTGGGATTCAATATAAATTCAATATTATCCATCCCCTCAGGGTGTTTACCCTTTAATACAATGAATATACAATGCTGACATCCTCTCAATATTTTTACCTCTAGCTATCAATTCATTTTTCTAGTTGTCTAAAACCTCGCATGCTGATTTCCTCTTGGCCAACACAATTTATCCAAACACAGGCTGAGACGTAAAATCCAGTGTACTGTTGATTAACACTGGGCATAAATACACTGAAAACTCAAGTGTCAGTCTCCTTGGCTGGAAATCTTCATTTCTCTATCTAGTACTGCAGTTTTCCACAGAGTCTGGGTGAATACTTTCTTACTACTCAAACTATTTCTAGCAAACCTTTACCCCAGGGAGTGTGGTTCTTTATGCACACCAAACTGCTAGCTAGATATCGACCCATAGGATATTAGTGACCTTGAAATGGTAAACTGCCATTGTAGCATCGAATGTATCCACTCAATGCACCTCCATGTCATCCTAGCCACAGCTGTAATTTCCTGAATGATCTGCTGCTGAAGGATGATCTACACTGCCGTCACCCACTTTATCACTGTCTGTTATAGTCTTTCAGGACGTGTTATGTGGCTGGATTGGATTTTCTTTTTCTTTTTCTTTTTTGTTTTTGGAAAGGTTTTCGCTATAGGGCACGTGCGCTCGCCAGACAGACAGAGAGAGACACAGAGAAAGAAAGCGAGAAATCACCCCCCCGGGGGGATGGTCACGCCGCAGTCCCTTTTCCTCCATTCTCCTCTCGGGATCTTGGGCACGCATGCACACGCGCCCGGCGTGAGTTTTAAGCCACCAGGTCCAGGACGCGAACCGTGGTCGACTACGTGGGAGTCCAGCGACATAGCCATTATGCTAACTGCTGGTTCCCAAGGGTTGGATTTTCTTGAGCTACCTGGTCTTGATACTATTTCCTCTTTCTTTGTAACTGGTAGATGTGAGGCCATAAGATGCTTTAATCAACATTCATTGCGATCAGTTTCGTAAAAGAGGTGCAAAAGCATTTGGGTAAGGGCTGCCCGCCTCATAGGAGTTGCTGATGAAAACTCAGTACGGTTTCTCCCTGAGTCCTAGAACACTGAGGTTGTGAGAAGTGGAGCCACGCTCACTGCTCCCTGATTCAAGGAAAGAGAAGGTTTTAGTAAGGGGAAGCAGCGCTAAAACCTGATGGTGCTGAGAGTCCGTGGAAACCACTCTACCTTTCCTCTCATGAGATACTCCTGTCTCTGAGTAGGCTGTGGAATCTCACACTTTCACTATTCTTTGTGACAGAGGGGCCTCTAGGAGTCAGGGACAAATAATGAGTGGGGCCTCTCGGAGGACTCAGTTCACCACCTGCTTGCTTCCTACAATAAAGTGTGCCCAGAAAGAAGCCATGAAAATAGCTTACGTCAATCTCTTATGCTAGTTTACTTAATTATACACAATTTGAATTGGATATAAATATATAACAGCAGAGAACATAATTTAATTCTAACATCTAATTGCTTGAAGCAATATTATGCTTTTACCAAACTATCATAATGTGTACACATATCATTCTATTTTCAATTGCTCTCTTTGCTATCAATTAGATGCCCAAGTTTTATGCTTAAGGGTTTTCCCCCACCCTCACTCCTGCTGTATCTGTCCTTGCATTGCCCCTTGTTATCACATGATTTGTGGAATTTAATACCACCATGCCCACTCTTTTTTCCCATTTTCATGAATTCTGTTCTTTCTTATTCATTATTTTTCAAACAAAATTTTTACTTAACTTTTTGAGGATTCCAAAGAAACCCATATCCTTTCTTCTTCTTTTTCTTCTTCTTCTTCTTTTTTTGTCATTGTCATCTTCCTAGGATTCTACAATATATCCAAGGGCCAGATTCATGGTATTCTCTACCATAAGGCAGTGAAGGAGATTGTAGCATTGAAATTAGGGTGTCAAGGTCAGATAAAATTTCTATAAGTGGAATTCAAAGAAAAATATTCTAAAAGGAAGAAGTGGTAAAAGTACTGTGTTTACTAGCAAGTCAAGGTTTCAAGAAGTAGTACTTGTCAAAAATTGTAGTAAAGAACACATAACCTAAGAAGTACTTTTTAAACAAATTCATAAGTGCACAGTGCAGTATTGTTAAATATAAGCACAAAATTGCACACTAGATATCTAACATGTTTCATCTTGTGTGACTGAAACTCTCCATCATTAAATAGCAGCTCTGTGTTTCTTCCCGTCTCTGTCTCCTGGAAACCACTACTGTACTTTCTCTTTCTATGAGCTTGACTACTTTAGACATCTCTTATAGGTGGACTCGTGTAGTACGTGTCCTTCTGTAACTGGCTTATTTCACTTAGCATGATGTCCTGAAGGCTCACACATGTAGCAATTGATAGAACTGCCTTCGTTTTCATAGATGGCTGAGATTTCACTGTATGTGCACATTGCATTGTCTTTACCCATTCCCTCATTGGTAGACATTTAAGTCTTTTCGACAAAAGCTACTTTACATTAAATCCTTCCTAGAATTATTACATATAAAATTGTCATAAAGATCAAAATAACCAAAAACACAGTAATTTAATATGATTCAGTATGTTATATTTATTGAAACTAAAGACTGGAACATTAATGTGCACTCGATAATATTAAAAGGGTAACCCTACAAGCATATTATCCCCTGGCAAGCTCAATGATTCTTACTAATTAGTTAGCAGTCTTTTAACCAGGAAAGACAATGAGTCCTAAACTTTCTACACTTTAGAATGATCAAGGGAGATTTATAAACAAGGACAGCAAAGTTCTACCCCAGAACAAATCAGAATGTCTTAGTTTGGATATTTTTAATATCCATAGCTAATTACAAAATGCAACACTATTTCTGAAGCACAAGACAGAGGAATTACCTTTTTCAAGGCATTTTTATGTTCTATCAATGGATGTAGGCTAAATAGTGATTCCACTTCATTAGTTAGTGGTGTTAGAAGAGAACTCATCTTTCCTCCGTTTCACTGTTCTAGAAGATGTAGAGCCGGGTCTGAAGCTATTTCTTGTCAGAAAGGATAAGGTCAGAAGACGTGCTCACACTTAGCTCTTGCTCATCTTTTTCTAGGTCTCATGCTTTTCACTTTCCTCCTGGGAACCTGGAGCTGCTGTAATAACAATAGATAAAATGTTCTGAGCTCTTGCTATGTAATCACATAAATTAACCATTTAGTCTTCAAAAATACAATGAAATTGACGTGATTATTGCCTTAATTTTGTTATGAGGAAACTGGTACCAAGAAGTGAAGGGCATTTAAGGTGATGGAGCAATGATTCATACACACCCATCTGGACTTAGAGCATGGATACTGTGTTGCCTTCTAACTGAAATGAGGTTTTTTCCTCCTCCTCCTCCTCCTCCTCCTCCTCATGTTCTTCTCCTTTTACTCCCCTCTTCCTTCTTTATTTTTGGCCTGTCCTAGCCAAGGAAATATGGTGCTTAGCATAACAAAAGATGCCTAGTTTACATTAACCACACAAATATCAGGGACATTCCAAATCTAATCTATCTCCTATTACCATGCATCATTAAACATGTATGTTCTCCTTATACCGCAGGTCATAGTACTCATATTCATCTTTATTTTATTACACTTTTGCATTATTTCATTATCATCTTAGGAAGCATTCAACATATCATTTAAGAACTGAAAGTATTTCAGCAGAGGGGCCTAGTATTTTTTTTTTTTTAACCTTTCTTGACCCTAAGCAGTACAAGGGTTGTGCTTATGCTTCCAGAGTTTTGAGTTTTATACATCTTCCTATAAAAACACAAGTGGGACCAGCAGTTAGCGTAATGGCTATGTCGCTGGACTCCCACGTAGTCGACTGCGGTTTGAGTCCCGGACCTGGTGGCTTATACACACGCCAGGTGTGTGTGCGTGCATGCCCAAGATCCCGGGAGGAGAATGGAGGAGAAGGGATTGTGGCGTGGCTATCCCCCCTGGGGGGTGATTTCTCGCTTTCTGTCTTTTTGTCTCTCTCTGTCTGGCGAGCGCACGCGCCCTATAGCAAAAACCTCTCAAAAATAAAAAAACCCCACAAGTTTCTGTGCTCACTTCAGCAGCACATATACTAAAATTGGAACAATACAGAGAAAATTAGCATGACCCCTGCACAAGGATGACACGCTAATTTGTGAAGTATTTCATATTTTTATAATAATAATGATGATCATATATTAAATTAAATAAATAATTCTTAACAACAACGCAAGTTTCCCAAACTTTGTTCTACAGAAAACTATTTGGCAAGATTGTAATGGGGATTTCATGGCTGTGGTGACTGGACAATTGCCTCCCAAAGACAACCACATTCTAATCCCCTGAAATCTGTATGTTACCTTATATGGTTAATACTACTTTGCACATGCAATTAAAATATGGGTGAGAGTATTCCAGATTATCTGAGTTTGTGTAAGAAAGAAACAAGATGACCAGGATAAGAGAGATGACAGTGAAGAGGTGGGAGAGGTGCAGAGACTGGACGATCCTGCACTGTTGACTTAAGGATGAAGGACTGAGCCGTGAGTCAAATATACATTAGGTCATTGGGAAAATCACAGCATATTTTTTCCATGTGAAAATGCAACATGACTTTCCCAACAAACCAATAGGTGGCCTTTGGAAGTTAGAAAACGTAATAAAGCACATTCTCTTCTAGCGTCTCCAGAAGGAAGATAGCTCTGCTGACCCATTTCAGATTCCAGAACTATAAGAGAATAGATTTGTATTGTTCTAAGTCACTAAGTTTGTACCAATTTGTTGTATCAGCAATTGGAAGTTAACACTTTGACCATATATGTTTGGGAAATGCCACATGCATTCTCTTTTAGGAAATTTATAGAACATAGTAATAAAATACTGTCAATAATTAATATAGAAGCACCTAAAAGAAATGAAATAATTTTTTTCTCTAAGAAAACCAGCGTCATGGACAGCGAGCTTTAGCTATGAATGACTTTAATTACCTGGCTAAATTTTGGGGTAGTTAGTAGGTAGGTTGTTCCACACTCAGTAAATCCACAGAAGGCACTGAATTATAAGCAGTGTCATGAACATTGCAGTAGTAGGATACAGACTTATTACATGAGTCTTCCATTCATTTGATACATTTTAGTTACTGTATCTTCTCTGTGTTTTACATTGATACAAATGGTAGCCCTATAGATAATGGTGTCAAGCTGGTATCAATATTCATTTTGGATGGCTAATGCTTTATGGGTAAACACTTTTTGCTAACAAATTGAGAATTACTTATTTTATAGCAGCAGGATTTTAAAATAGAAATGCATTTTTTGAAAAAGAAAAGTGTATTATGAAGTATGCTTGGGAACTATAAAATATCCTCTATATTTTAGGAATAAACATGTTCTGATAAAATCAGTATAAGATAATTTGAAAGTTTTCTTAAAATCTTTTCAAGTCATAACATTTTAAACATATGATTTCAAAATTTTACTTTGCAAATACAAGTACAAGATAACTGTTCTGATAAATAATTTTATGACTAGGTTCAAAATAGGTATGCTTTGTTATACAAAAGCTAGAACTTTGTCTAAGAAGGAAATTTCTCAATTATTTTTGCTAGACAAATACAATTCTTGAACCAAACTCTCAAAAGAGAGAAAGAAGGCATAGCTATTGACTAAACACATTTACAAAAAAATTTTCAAAACTTCGAATTTAAAGATAAGATCTAAAATTAAAATTATTCTAATTAAACAAAATACCATAATCAAATGAGGTTTTCTCCAGAAATTCAAAGACAGTTCAACATTAATAAATCATTTTAAAAATTCATTTTATTAATAGCACAAAGAGGGGCCAGCAGGTGATGTAGTGGTTAAGGTGCTGGACTCCTACATGAACTACGCTGGTTTGAATCTGGAACTCAGCAACATGAAAATTAAGCCAGGCACATCTGCACGTGTGTCCAAAGTTCCCAGAGGAGAAAGGAGAAGAAGGAATTGTGGCATTGCTATCCCCCTTGGCGGGGAGGAAGGAATTTTAACTTTCCATTTCACTATCTCTGTCTCTCTCCCATAATTGTATATGCCTATGGCAACCTTCTTCACCACCCCAGCTCCACCAAAAAAAAAAAAAAAAAAAAAAAAAAAAGTACAAAGAAGGCTGGCAGGTTATGGCAACTAGATCCCACAGGGCTGACTGTGCAGTTTGAGTCCTAGACCTAGTGACTTGATGGCTGCCCAAAGTGCAGAGAGGAGAATAGAGAAGTACAGATTGGAGCATGGCCATCCCCCTTGGGGGGTGATTGCTCACTTTCCCTCTCTCTCTGTTTCTCTGCAGCAAGCATACGTGCCCTGAACCAAACAAAAATTTTAGTCAAGTATGATGGTAGGATAAAAATATAAAGTATGAAAGATTATTTTTTTCACCCTTTTAAAAAAGCATTAAGAGGATATGCTTCAACAATAAAAGTGGGTAAAGCAGAAAGGAGCTAAGTTAAAACTAAGAACTAGAAATTCCAATTAATGAAAGAATGCACTAAAAAGAAAGCCAAGTACACTTTATTGGTTCAGATCAGAGCAGAAGCACAGAGGGCTCCAGTAAGAAACACTCCAGGGGAAAATATTGACCTGATGCCCCATGATGTAGGTGATCACTTGGAAACGAAATATTAATGAATATTTAACTAGTAGCAGAGAATGTGTGGAGAAAAAAGTAAGACCAAGTGCCCTATTATATGTAGTTGGATATTTTGATTAATTTATAATTACCTTTTTATTATTCTGGAAAGTTTGATTATCCCGAAAAAAGTATTTATCTCCTCTTACTATAGAATTTTTACTGGTTATATTTTCTAGTGTTCCTGTCCCACTTCCCCTTCAATCTGGCTTGTAAAAGTATGTCACTTTGGGCCAAAATAATTAAAATGCAGACATGCCTTCTCTGTCATCTTTGTCCCTTCTCTCCTTAATATACACATCTCTCCAGTCTCAGGGAGATGATCAATTCATCAAATAAAAAAAAAAATTGTAACATTTAAGACAGCTACCTGTTCAGTGACCTCTACATGGGCCTATAAAGAAAAGGAAAATAAACTGGCATTGTATAAAACCATTACTTTGCCACTGCTAGTTTTGTTACAGCATCAGTCCAAACTAATACTATCGCAGCTTAGAGATTTTGTGCTAAATTGAGTTAGGTCTCTGTCTTCCATTAGTATAGTCTGGCAGGTATAAGGAAAGACACACGCACACACAGACAGACAGACACACACACAAATTAGATCTATTAGCCAGATTTTGTAGTCTCTCAAAGAATACTTAGGAAAACTGACAACTTTTCATATGAATTGGACCTGCCAATTAAGACAGTATTTTTCTTTTTTTTTTTTTGAGAGATTTTTTTTTCACTATAGGGTGCGTGCGCTCGCCAGACAGACAGAGAGAGACAGAGGGACAGAAAGCAGGAAATCACCCCCCAGGGGGGATGGCCACGCCACAATCCCTTCTCCATTCTCCTCTCGGGATCTTGGGCACACACGCACACGCGCCCGGCGTGAGTTTAAGCCACCGGATCCGGGACTTGAACTGCAGTCGACTACATGGGAGTCCAGTGACATAGCCATTACGCTAACTGCTGGTCCCAGGACAGTATTTTTCTTAACTGAGGGTGTTGGTGGGGGGAAGAAGTGAGTGGGTGGTCAGTGGCTTGCAGAATAATTTACAACACTCTATCTCAAGTTCTGAGCCTTCCCCACTTTCCACAACTGACAAAACTGACAAAGTCCTACAGTATGACGTTTCCTCAAAGAACTGAAAACAGAACTGCTATACGCCCACCAACTCATTAGTTTTCATGTATTCAAAAGAAAGGAAATTAGTATGTTATACATATCTGCACCCCAATGTATATTGCAGCACTAGTCACAATAGCCAAAATACAGAATCAACCTAAGTGTCCATCAACAGATGAAATGATTTAAAAAAAAATGCAGGATGTTTGAGTGCATATATGCAATGGAATATTATTCAGTTATTCAAAAGAATGAAATTCTGTCAATAAAGGTAATATGGAAAAAGCTGGAGGACATTGTGTGAAGTAAACTAAGCCAGAAATACCACATGTTCTCACTCATTTGTGGAAACTAAAGAGAATGACTTCACTGAAGCAGAGAGCAGAAGGCTGGGAAGGGTAGGGGACGTTGATGAATGGAAACAGAATTACAGATGCATAAGAGGAACAAGCTTTAATGTTCAGTACAGTAGAGTAACTATAGTTAATGATAATTTATGACATATTTTAGAGTATCTAAAAAGGGGGATTTTGAATGTACCCAAACTAAAGTAATGACAAATGATTGAGATAATAATCATGCCCATTACTCTGATTTAATCATTACACATAGTACTCTTGTGCTGAAAAAAATCACATAGTACCCTATACATAAATACAATTATTTTATGTCAATAAACAGCCCTAGGGTGATAGGTCTAGCAATTAAACATAAATTAAATATCTTACATAAATATTAAAATCCTCGAATTCACCTTTTTCTATTTATTTATCTCCCCAATGGGCTGTGGTTATGATACAGTCCCTTCTCTTCCGGATCTCCCTCCTGTTGGAGTTTCAGGCACATATGCACACAAACTCAGCATGTTTTACAAACCTCTAAGGACCTGCTCCCTTCATAACTAGGTCATGGAACCAGGCACAACTGGCCTTTAACATATGCAGCATAAAACCACTCACTTTCCCTGTGTAAACAAACACTTAGATGTGTATTTATATGTCATTTAATGATAAGTAAGCCCAGTTGAAATACTGTGAAAAAAAAAAAAGTATCCTGAAGTACCCTTTCAACGTCTCACTAGAGATCGATAGAAGCATTACTTTAAAAACTTGTGTATTGCCAGGAGTCAGGAGAAGTTGTCAGAAATAGAATGCCCAGGGACGAGCAGTTAGCGTAATGGCTATGTCACTGAACTCCCATGTAGTCAACCATGGTGCAAGTCCTGGACCCGGTGGCTTAAACTCACGCTGGGCATGTGTGCATGCGTGCTCAAGATCCCAAGAGGAGAATGGAGGAAAAGGGATTGCAGCGTGGCCATCTCCCCTGGGGGTTGATTTCTCACATTCTGTCTCTCTCTGTCTCTCTGGTGAGCACACACACCCTGTAGCAAAAACCT